TTTTTTTCATTTGTAAAAGTCTAATGTTAATGCATTGATGGATTCTTCAGGTAATACTGATGTCAGCTACAATGGAAGGAAATCTGCGGTTGTTCACCAAATATTTTGGCGAGAAAGTCGAAGTGAAACATATTGATAGTAAGTCATTTCCTCTGTTTTCGGATATGTTTGACATTTTTGAACATGTTGTCTATTCACTCAGGGTTTATCATAAAAGAAAATCGACAGCAAAATATATTTAGACATTGTACATTTTTACCTTTTTTGAGCGTCGGCATTTATCTTTTGTTTTGTTTTCCTGCTAATTTTATTCCCTTTTGCCTTAATTTTGGCTTTTTTCCATGTTTGATAAACAATAGTTTGATGATTAACAACAACAATTTAGTTCCATCTCGGCTGTTCACTGTTGAAAGATTTTTCCTCGGTGATGTTATTGCTATGACTGGATTTGTCCCAGAAGAAAGCATGTTCAGTAGCATGTTTATGTCTGCTGGATTCCCAGAAGTTTGCAGGTAACTTTTCGTCTAAGACGCTTTCGGCGATTGTTTTAATGTAATTGCACATTTGTTGTAGTTTTCCAACTGTGGGCGACTGGTCGATGAAACCAGAATGGGAACAAGACCATCAAGTTCACGGGAGATTGCCGGAGGCTATGGTATGACTTGACCATCACTTGATTGTCAGTACTTTCATACTGTCTCTTTTGCAGACTGCTCCAAATCTCCAGTCACTTGCCGGTGCGGCACCGAGCTCGTCAAACCAAATGGCTGGCGGCCATATGATGACCTCATCCAGTGTCGCATCTTTCCCTCAGCATGGAAAACAACAACATACTGCGAATTTCATGAATGTTGCGCAACAATTGGTGAAGTGAGTTCATCTTCTCAGAGTGACAATCGAGAAGTTTCCTTCATGAAGTCTCTTTCAGTTCACAGCATTCATCCTCCGGTCATCAACAACAACCTCCTCAACCCATGAGTGCTCCACCTCAAGGTGTCGTGCACCATCCACAGCAGCAACCTACAATGCCTGGATATGTACAACCTCAAGGGACCATCTATGTGCAACAATCGGCATACCAGCAGGTGGCTGTTATTTGCTTCGCTGCTAATTTTTTTGTATTTGCATTGTTCGAGTTTTTCTGTCCTCCGCTCTTTATTTCATGATAGTAAGTGTTAATACATTAGAATGGGCCAGTTTCCCGCTTCTTTCCATTTTGAATGAGTTTTTAGGGTTACCCTCAACCACATGGTTTTCCTCAAGGTCAGATTCGCCAAGTTTATACGCAACAACCAGGAGCTGTGGCGATGCCTCATTGTGAGCATTTTTAACAGATTTCGATACTCTACATGCTGTACACATCTGTCCATTATGATTCTAGCAGCTACTTGGGGTGGAAATATGGATCAGTCGTTTAATGGAGTGGTGCATGCACATCCAGATGTTGTAGATCTCCCAAGTGAAGCTATCGATCCGGAGACTATGGAGCAGTTCCGACAAATGGGTAAGTCCAAGCCTGTGGGCTGAGATGCATGACGCTTTGATCACATTACTCCATATTTTCGTAGCAGGTTATGCTAACAACGAAGACGTTGGTCCAGCCGTAACATATGGTGCTGAGTGGCGTGTGGCTGAGGGAGAAGTTCAACCACAATGGCAGCACACTGTGAGTCTTATTTGCAAACCATTGCTTTTCGAACATTTTTCCATTTTCTGAAAATCGAAGTTCTCCCTACTTTCTTTTGCTTTAGTCGATATAATCTTACAGAAGATTTTCTTCGTTTTTGTCTTATGTTACGATAAATTGATCTTTGCTTCACATACCGCTTTCATAGTTCTGCTTCGATAAAACATCATTTTGTTCCTCCTCATCATTTTTTTCCTCCTCATTTTTATGTTCTACAACAATTTTCAGCAGTCATATTCTGCTATGCCTAACGCTGGCTACCAGCAAGGTCACCTGCAAAGTTGGGATACGCAAGTTGTCTACGCCACTGCACCCGCTCCTTACCACAAGGTTTGTACGCGGACTATATCTGAGATTGACTTATTTTACACGTATTTAGAACTCTCAAACACAACAGCCGATGTTTTACGTGCCGGAGAGTTTTGACAGTTCTCCCTC